ATTTAGAGTAGGTCATATAAGATTTTTGTTTACGTTTCATTTTTCAATTGTATAGATTACAACATATACTATTTAATATGTGTTTCTGTATATTTTTTTTTACTGTTTACAATTAAACTTAAAAAAGGTTTTGCTACAAAGGGAAGTGACTCAAAATAGAACGTAATTCTTTTAAGCTGTTGATATTAATATATATGTTTCGAAATAACGAAATATTCTTATGGGTTATATCAGCGATTACTATAAATAGACAATAATTTCTTAATATCGCAGTTTCTGAAAAAATTGTCAAGATCATCTACCTTCGTAGCATTTTGTAAGTTTCTGATGGTTATAGCTATTGCTGATACCATTAGTATATATTGTATGGTATATAAGATATAATAACTAAAACTGATAACGACTTGCAATAGTCAATCTTTATCCTTTGTGTCATGCAGCTAGTCCTTGACGGGTTGTCTCGCCCACTCACATAGGTGGTTCTTTCTTCACAATAAGATTCCAATGCAATATCTAGATTATAATACATAGCTTAAACAAAAGTATATTTGCTTCGTAATATTCAATTAATACTTAATTTTAATAATATTTAAATATCGTTTTCGGTTTACGCTAAAGGAACAGATTACTTCAATAAAATAATTACGATACGTTCGGGACTTGAAGCGACTTCTATCGTGCTCTCTGCTACTTTAACTTATTGATGTTGGTGAAATGAGAAAAATATTAAAGATTTCAAAAATGTATTTTAACAAGGATATTTTGCTTGTTAATTTCCTTTTTATGCCTGTCGTCGTAGGATTTGTAATTAAATTGGAAAAAGGTCGTGCCTGGAACAAAATTGTTTTTTTGGTTTTAATTCTATAAGAATACATTTTAAAATTGAGATAGTTACAATTAGGTCTAATAGGTTAAGCAAATTGCAAATAATTTAATAAAAAAAATGCTTTATATAAATATTATTTTCGATAGATTTAATGTATACAACCATATTAAGTGCTTTATTGGTTTTTAAGCTAAATATGCGGTAAGCACCATGGTATGTTAAGTGGTACAGTACCGGTTCGAACAATAGAGCCGAAACTGGTTTCTAGACGCAGCTACTCGTCACCTTCACTTTTACTGTAGCCTGTACTTGATACACTAATATTTTAGACCATAACGACCGATATGGTTTGCGGTTATGTAAGGCAGGTTGTTTTTATCGATTTTTAACGAGCGGATTGTTAAATCATACGCGAGAAATATACGTTTTAATTGTTAAACACTTTAACGGTTCTAACGCGAAATATATGAGTTAAACTTATTTAAAACATATTTTGACTATAGCCCGACGTTTCGGACGTTTTACAGCAGTCGTGGTCACGGGTAGATAAAAGATGGAGGTTGCCTCTAATGTCAAAGTAAAAATCGCTACGAGCGCCATCTGTTTGGTCGCAGTTGATATTTGGCGAATACCCACTAACAAAGACAGAGTTTTTTTTTACTGAATTCATCGTTACAAGTGTAAAACCTATTTCCCGCTGGGAGTCTTTTACGATAGGTAAATCCGTATTGACAACATGTCTTCCGTTTTTTCTACCTATAAGCATGTTTTAAAATGTATACAAGATACGACCCTTCATTAAACTTACGAATTGACCAAAAGCGGTTCGTACCAACTGTAAAAAGGGGATATAGGGTACCATAATATATTCGCTACTTGTTTGACGACACAAGAAGACAAACTAATGATTTATCGATTACCTATAAAACATTTTGCTTAGTCTTAATTATAAACTATGTCAGGAATTATGAAGCGTGTTGCTGTATCGACTGCATACAGCAACACGTTTGTAATTCAATCCAATGCTGAGCGGGCAAACACGGGCGTTGGCTGATCACGACTCCCTCATTGTGAATCTTGTATTACAAATATACTTCGTTATTGGTCTCAGTGTCTTATTGTGCCAGAAATAACGTCTTTAGTCAACGAGTTAGTATTCAGTGTAGGTTTGAAGCACTAAATAAACTTAAATGTCGAATTAAGCTTGCTAGGAAAGTAAGAATGACTTTCGTGACAAGTTTACAACTGTGAGAAGTGTTTTATAGATGTTTTTTCAAGGCTTTTAAATACAACACTTTGACGGTTTAAAACGCGATGTATAGACATTAGTTGAAACTTATTTAAAATTTATTTTAAATACGACGTTTCTAACTAATATATAAGGCGTTTTAAACCGTTAAATTTGTATTACTCTCGTAAACTACAGACAGTATTTTATTTAAGGCTATAAAAAGGTTTGATTGTTTTTAATAGCCACGAAAGCATGCAACATTTCAGTTTCAAACTCACATAGCTTCAGATGATATTTGAATAATTTCTGATCACCATACTTTGCGACATATTTATTTCTCCTATTAAAAATAACATATTACTATTTTCACAACAATTAAAAATAGGTTGGCAGTAGGTTTTAGAGCAGCAACGGCATCAAAAACATTTTCATTATTATGCAACACAATATGCCATTTACTTTTATATAATAATTTTTGTCAAATTAAACTTTCTAAGAATTTTGGAAAAGTTAGATATGAAATTAACGAGGCGTTAATTAAAAGGATTTTAGTTTGACTAGTTTCGTAATACATTTGATGCGTAACGTTTTTAAAGAAATTAGAAAACGTTCATATACCTACTCTTTATTTGCTAAACTCGAGTCATTAGTCTAATTTAGGAGTACTTAGGGACGCTTAACTTAGACGTAATTGAGGCTATGTTTTTCTATGGTCTGTGACCGGATCATACTTATATAAATTGATATAGGTAGTCAGTTATAGAAGTCAGTATTAAAAATACTTATACTCTCAAAGAGTAATATAAAAAAAAAAGTTAAACTAAGACATTTTCATATAACCACGATGCAAAAAAATACTCCTTATAATTTAGCTATTAAAATTCTCTGTAAATGCGAAATGATGTGTGCTTATATACTTAATAAATATATGTAATGCGTACGCGCACAGCTTCTAAATTTTAGCATTTAATTAGAACTACCGAAGCCATAAATGGGTCAACGGTTCAATTTTATTAGATTTTATAGTTCAAGTTGAAACAAAAAGAAATCTAATTATAAATAGTTTTATCTTCTAGGTAAGGCGGGTACAAAGTAAAGAGGGCGTCTTGTTATAGTAATACCAAACACGCCAGGTCAAAAATACACCGATATTTTCTCGTTAATCGTATACAGTGCACGTCTGTATTTCTCATTGTGTCGGTTGTACGACCCATTGTTTTATTCTTTCCATTCCTCTGAAGCGTCAAAGAGCGGTGCGTGTTGAATCATTCCCAGGGTTAAAAGTTTATATATTCTTAGACTAACTGTTCCTGCGGCAAGGTACAATATGTAGTGCAATTTTTAAGACTATTTAGAAGTTAAGCCAAGAAAACAAAACAAGGAACAACACACACCCAGAGTCAAGCTAAGAATTAGACGTGGTAACAACACACAACTTTTGTCAGGCCAAACGTAAGATGATCTAGACGAACTGGGCTCAGACTGTAAATTTTCAATACAATTCGCAATTGTTTATTGCCACTAAACGAAACACAAGAAACAGAAAAATCGCGATAGACAACAGCAAACAATGATAATGTCTGTTTGCATATTTCTACACGTTTCATGCACTGAATAGCATTTTTGCAACAAGATGTTCGCTAAATTTTAAATAAGGCATACTAAGCATTTTACTCTTTTACTGTTAAACGGCTAAACTGCTTAGGATAATATTTATATCAGTAGCTACATGTACAGAAATACAGAATCAAAAGTATTCTCGTAGGACGAGCAGGTATGTTTAATTAATTTAATTTTTCTCGTTTATGAAATTTCTTCTTTTAATAAAAATAGATTTCCAATTGAAATAAGATTGTCAAAGTTTTTGTCATGCAAATCTATGACATTGGACAAACTATAAGAAAATGTATGCTCTTTATTTCGCTATCTCTTATCACTGGGACTCGATAAAAAGACGTGTAGATTGTATCTCAGTGTCAGAGCTATCTTGAAACACCTTGGCATTTTTAAATGCAAATTATTATTTGTCGGAAATCCACACGAAGCATTAACATTTGAGATAAATAAGATTAACTGTAACTTATCTTTTAAGAAAAATTGTTTTTATAGTAAAATTTGTTTATTTTTTTCGTAATCGTAATATGTTTTCGTGACCTTTTACGTATAGGGATACAAAAGAAAATCTATGCCACCGATGAGGACACTCCTCAAAATGGAAAATGAGAGATACGCCTTCTACTTAAACTTCTTTACGACATACAATATGTTTATGTCCTAAAATTATATAACATTTATATGTGATATGAGTATGTTCCACGGATTCAACTATTTTGTACGCGTGAAATTCATTTTAAAAAGTTTAAATGGAAAATATAAAAATGTATCCAAAATACAGTTCCAATAGGTTTCATATAAATTCATGTCCCAGGAACGCTTGATTGAGCATTTTCTAAGATTTTTTGTTGACCGTTACGCTTGTCCGGCGAAAATAAAAGCATTTACTGTTTCATTGAACCAATTACTTTGAGAGAGCCGACTATCAAGTTAAGGCAAAAAATGCACTTTTTTAATTTACAGGCGATATTTAAATATATACGGTCATTCACACCAGATAGGTAACTATGATCCGACGAATTACAAACTTCACTAAATACAGTTTTATTGTGGTCACCTTTTTTTATTTTCTTGTTTAAGTTTCGAGTGTTTGCCCCAAAAAGATCGTATATACTTATAAACTACGTAACTTAGTAATTGATTATATACTGTCTGTAGTTTATGCAGTAGCACACATTTAAATAAAACACTAATAAAACGCGGTTCAAAACGCGATATATATTGTGACCTCCGTGACAACTTAGTTAAAATAATTTCCAATTTTTTTTATAATATTTTATATAATTGTTGAATCTATGCAAATATTTAGACCCTGAAACCTCTTTGCAGAACTGGCACCATGCTGCAGCAGATCCTGCGCGACATGTGGGTGGACCCCGAGATTCTGGCCGAGCTGGATGAAACACAGAAGCAGACGCTCTTCTGCAAGATGAGAGAGGAACAGGTACCAACATTTTGAGGAAGAATATTGTTAACTTGAAACACAGTATGGACGCTAAGCTAATTACTTTGCTTAACTTATTTATCCAATGATCTGCCACTCTACCACTCTTTTTAGATTTATAGTCGCCAGCGTGTTTTGGAAAAATAGGACGATTACTTAGCTAAAAAAACAACTTATTTATAGACAACAAAGACACCTCCACGACTTCCTCGATTTAACGCTTATCGGTCACGTCGATTGTCTAAAATATCAAATCCGCGCTTTATTCGCCCAAGGTCCATTGGACAATTCGCCCTTCACTAGACAAAGCTGCCATTATGGGCGAGCTTAATAATGCTAATCATTTTGCAATTACCGCTAAGTGTCTATTGAAACCGATAGTAGGTGAGGTCTACATGTATAGGTATTGGTATAAAGAGGTTGCCGTAAGCTTAATATACTATATATATCGCGTTTTAAACCGTTAAAGTGTTTTATTTAAATAAGTAAGCTAGAAATTTAATTCCGTAACTGGGAAAACCCGCTTTAATTTGTTTAAATAACAGTTTATTTGAAACACATTTTTAAGGGATAAATGGTACAGTAGCACATTGTGTATAGATTCTACAATCTATCGTATGTATTATAGTTATCATATTATGCTTTTATAGGTGAGACGTTGGCAACTGTGGGACAATAAAGTTAGCAAAGAAGAGAATGGAAGAACTAAATTCGTTTCTAATGGAAAAAAGCAAGTCCAGTTTCTCAAGGGAGAGGATGGTGAGCCTTGGGTAATTATATTCCGAATTACTATTATATGATATTATGAGGTGTCTGTTAATGTATGTAACGTACATTTATAAAAAAGCGTTTAATTTTACAAATCATAACGCTACCCTCAGGCCATTACAATGCCATTGTAATGTAATTTAATTACAATATTTAAAAAAAAGCTCCCCTACGTGTCTTAGGGACCCGATGTACCTATTCTTAATTACTTCTTATTATAATAATACCTACTATTAAATTATATTTGTCTGTTATTATTATTATATCGTGCTTAAGTGATGTTATTTTCTAAAAGAAGCCGAGTTACGACTTTATATGGCAATACTCACTAACAACTAAAAATTATTTTTGTAATTCGATGATCAGCATATTATTGTCTTTCGGGCTATTGGGGGGGAGGGGGGGTTCTCGCGTTGTTCTTCACAATTCTTCGAGCAATAGAATACATCTCCCAGTCGCGTACATAACTCTTCTCGCTCAATGAAGCCGAAGACAAGTATTGTGATAATATTATATAAAGTGTAGCAGTCGCGATATGTAAATGGCAATTACTACATTAATGGAAATAAGAATTATTTCTATCGATAGATCGAAATAGACTTTGTATATATTAAAAACATTTGATTTGACTAAAGTGCCAGCTGTAGCAAATATTTAACTATTATCCATAATTATTTTAGGTGTGGGTGATGGGAGAACACCCAGATGACCAAACCATTGAGAACATCCTGGCCGAAGAAGCGAGACAACGTGCTTTGGCACAGGCGAGGCAGGAGGCCCACCAGCTTCGCAAATCCGTGGAGAAAGAGTTGACTCATCTCATTGACTACAAACCTTTGGACAGCTTGGAACAGGTACTTTTAATTATTTGAGTAACGTTAATAATCATAAAGCTGTAGAGTTTGTTTGTTTAGACGCGCTAATGTCAGTAACTACTGGTTCAAAATTTTCTCTGTGTTGTTTAGAGCATTTATCGTGACATGCCTTAAGCTACAAAACATCACAAAAGGATTTACGGGACGCGGACGACGTTGTAGGTAACAGCTATAAATTATAAAGCAGAGGAGAAGGTTTGCAAAGACAAATATTGATGCCCAAAATAACTATTCTACTGAAGCGAAGTCGCAGCCTGAGCTAGTTAGATATACAACGTCATTAAATAGCCCGCTTTATGTCTTCGAGGTAAAATTTGTTCGTTAATAATTTCATTTTCTATGCCCAGAAATTCGACCTATCCCCAAAGACAGTGGATACAATAGAAGACACGCTGGACCTGTACTGCACAGTGGACGAGCTCAGGGAACGAATGGACGCGCTGGACACGGAAGACAAGAAAGAAATTGAGAAGACATATTGCGAAGATATTAAGTTGGATTTGAAGACGAACACTCTGCATTTTAACTTCATTGAGGGAAAGAAAGATGTACAGGTTAGGGATATATTTTATTAGTGTAGTAAAACAAAAGAAGGCGTTATGTTTAATACCGCCACATACTATGTGTGAAAACATTATTGATGTCATATAAAAAATGAATCGAATATGAATTGAAAAAAAGTTACGCCACGGGCAGGACTTGAATCGGCATTCACAACGTTCCGTGCTGTTGCTCTAACCAATTGAGCTATCCTACACGTCATCGTCGCTCGTTAGGGTTAGGGTTTTTTCTTGTTAGTATTTATGAAGTATCTGTTTATATTTCAGGACTCCAACGTCTGCCGTGGTGATGGGGTAAGTCTTCGTGTAGCTGCGTGGGAGCGTCGAGTGGCCGCCGCTCGTGCTGGTGACATCTTGCGTGGACTCAAAGCAAGGAGGGCGCGCACTCTACGAGACGCTCAGCTACAAGCGAAGGACGAAGATGCCGTGTGGAGGGAGCAAGGTAAATTTACCACTCCTATATCTTTACAGGCAAGTTAACTTGAAACAGACAGGCTGAAAAGGTTACTGAATATGTGTTAGTAGTGAAAGCCCGTTTCCCCCTCGCGGGGGATGGGGCGAACACATTCCTGTGTCCGTTTCACGGATCCGTTCTTTTAACGGGCAACTAGTTGATCAGACTTCTGTGCCCTGCCTGACCGAAACAATTTATGTTTCCCTGGGATTCGAACCCAGGACGTCTCGCGCTTAACGCAATGCTAGGTGTACGTTTAACCATTCGGTTACAGAGGCGGTCACGAACTTACGAATAAGTATTAGTGTAGTGTATTTGTTCTAACTTGGTAAAAGACCACAACAATTACGGCCGATTTTAAACTATATAAAACTAGTTAGTTACCTTTTATAGAGTGAAGTTGTTGCACACAGATGACAGAGATAAAAAAATATTCATTATATATGAATCAAACGATTATATTCAAAATTACTTTTATGAATTTCAGTGTTTCAGGGATAGACCATGAGTAGGACTTCTACACCTTCAATTGGCATTGCCTTTGCTTACATCTAATCCTTATGCAAATCTAAATGTTTTATGCGTAGACAGAAATTGGACAGAATTAACAGAACAATTGAAACTGTCACTCTGTCTGTCTATTACTCTCCATATTAATCATCAATTCAATTATGTTCTAGAACGAAAAGCGAAAGAAGCTGAGGCTGCGATGCGAGAAATAGCAAGGGCTGCTCGGGAAGCTCACCGTCGGAGCAACGAACCGGCTACTATTTGCCCGCAACAAAGTTAGTATTGATAATTTTATTTTAACGTTTGTTGTTAAAAACCCCTTTTTTAGCCAAAATTTTGAGAAAGGATAAAAATGCAATGCCTCATCGTCATTATGAAAAATCAACAAGTGCCAAATTTGTCGTTGAACATTTAAAAACTATAAATTGATCAAAGACGCGTACGTTGTACTCTATGAAATTCTATCTAAGAAATTAAAACTTTTCTTAATATATATTGTTGTATATATAAAATAATACTACTGATCTATCAGTGACACAGTATATCTACCTAATGTTCTATAACTTTGTCCATTTCAGTCAACAAGCCACCAAACAGGGAGGCCGTAGTGGAGTGGTTTAAAAGGCAAGAGATGACGCGCGGTGTCTTTGATGAGGACAAACCTGTTGTTTGGTTTCATGGTAAGGATGAAAAAAAATATCTAGTACTTTTACTATTGTCTGAAAGAAATATCTAGTTAGTGCTAGGCTGAAAAAAATATAAACCGTTGGATTGCTGTTATCCTACCTTCTGTACCTAGTAGCGTTTTTATCTACTTTCTGTGAATAAACTTAGTGAACTCCCATTAATTTTTTAAAATTTTTAGGACTAATGAGCCGTTTGGAAGCAGAACAGGCTCTATCTAATAAATCGGAAGGTAGTTTCCTTGTTCGTCTCTCGGAGCGCGTTTGGGGATACGCCATATCATATCGAGCGGAGTCGCGCTGCAAGCACTATCTCGTGGATACGAGTGATGGCTATCGCTTGCTTGGTGCTGGACAAATCTCCCATAATACTTTAGGTAAAGCCTGGTATAATTATTACTAAATTACTATTATGGTAGGAACGATCACACTATTTTAAAAAAAATCTATATTCGTAATTTATATTGCTTAATACTTGCAGAACATACAATAAATATAATCTTATTAATATTTGCTTTCAGCTGATCTCATAAACTACCACAAAGACGTCCCAATAACGGAGACTGGTGGCGAGTTGCTGGTCACACCGTGCGTTCCCGCGCAAACTCCTGTCATTTAGCCGCCATCTTGACTACGTTCAGAAATTCGACATATAACGCGTGTACTATTAATTAAGGCATCATTTACTCAGTCATTGTAATTTAATTTTTTTGAATTTAAGTTGATTATTTGACAAATTGAGATATACATTTTGACTATAGCAATTATAATTATTCTCAATTACATATCTGTTAAAAATAATCACGCCTCCTTTTGTACTTTACGGTGCTACGTGCAATAAAATGTCAAAATGTCAAATAACAGTATTTATATTATACATATTTAAACTTTTATACAGGTCTAACAAAGTAAAACACTTGTAAATGCATTTTTATAAATAATTATTTTAAGAACAATGTATGCTTCGACTCGCTCGAGTTATTGTGATAGTTTGAAAGGTTCGTCATTGGATGCTGCAGTATTATTTACGAAAATCTCCCAAAATCCCGGGGTAAATTGAGCCAAAGTCAAATTGTAACAGAAAAACTCGTATAATGCCATTTATTGTAGTTTTCTCGTCTTAATTTTGTAAAACTTGTTTACTGCCAATTTAGAATAAATGTAAAGAAAAATATTTGCAATTTTTTTACCTACTGTACACAAAAGATAGCGTAGTTGAAGCTCCAAAATAATGTCAAAAATTTGAATGTTGTTTTTGTTGCTTTTATTTGCTTTATAATCAAGCAATTTAAATAAAACATTATATTCAATATAATAACGCTTTAAAATAATATATTGTCTTTTCATAGTTTACAACTATTTTCGCGTCGTTTTTAAAAAAAACAATATCAAAAGAGATTAATATCGTGTATTAAAAGTAACACTGTACAGAATATTTACAAACATTGAATCGTAATATATTTCCAAAGTTAGCTTTTCCGATTAGATATTTTACAGTAATTTAATTACACATGGCATCAATACAAAAGCTACCGCAACATTTATAATTTAAAAGTACAAATTTAACACATTAACAATTTTCACACAGTATATAAAGGATTGTCTTATCTATAAACGAAGATATGACAAATAGAAGATATATGGACGTTTTTTATCTTCAAATCTCTCATAGATATCGTTGTATTTATATTTTTTACTCAAAACCAGTTTACAGCTATTCATAGCTACAATAGCTAAGCTCAAATTCATTTTTATTGGAGACATAACTTAGCAAAATTGAATAGATCTCCATACAAAAAACAAATCAACTATTCCGTTTGTAGTAATAGATATTTAAGCACAAACCACACACAAAAAAAATACAAACACTTATAAAACAGTAAAGCATGTAATTTTTTTTTTCCATAACAATAAATTAACGGAAACTGTAACTATTATTTACCGACATACGCTATCAGATAATTTGAAACAACTCATCCTAAGAGTTGTAGACAAACTGAAAACCGTCTTTCCACGTTTAGATATAGCATAGAATTTTATCATGGCTAATAGTTTTCTGATATTATTATTGGAGTCATAGTGGATGGTAAATTTTCGCGTCGATTTATACATGTTGCAGATTTTGAATGGAAACGGAAATCCCTTGTCGCTGATTCAATTGAGAGATTCAATTTATATTTTGACAGGTTGATTTCAACATTACACAGCAACTATGTTTTGGGAATAGTTTTAGCCAGTTAAGAGATTTAGAAGTAATAATTTTTGGCGGTCTTGTGAAAGCCTACGATAGTGAAGGGCTTCTGGAAGACCGCTCTAGTGCCCTGCAGTCACATGTACGGTAGGTTGGTCGGATTCCGTTGATTCAGTGCTGGATCGACGCTGGTTTTCTGGTAAGTGTGTGGTAATATTAAGTATGAATAGAAAATAAATAGGTTTGATAGAGAAAATCTCTATCTGAGTCTAGTTTATGTTTCATACTTGAGAACTTTAATATTTTTCACAATTTGGTAGTGTCATTCCATGCTATGTATGCTGTTTCAAGTCCTACCCGTGTCGTATTTCCTTTTTTTTTTCAAATTATAATTGTTTTTTTTATTTATATTTTATATATAAAAGAGATGTATCAAGCATATGAAGTGAATAATGCTTACATGATGATCCCAGGCGTCATGACTCCTTGTGGGAGGATGCCCTTGAGGCTTCTTCGCTTTCTTCATAGGACTGTTGCTGGCTGTGAAGGCAAGAATATTTATCATTATTAAGTTATACATCTTAAAAATCAGATAGAAGCGAAAATGACACCTTACCTCCCGGAACATACGGCAAAGAGATGTCAGGCGGAGATTTCTTTGTCGTCTTCTTGGCGAGCGATCTACCTCGAAGCAATTCCTCGTCCATGACTAATTTATTGTTTACTCTGGAACAATAAAGTTTGTCATCTTTAAAATCTTGTTTTAAAAATTATGACTCAAGATCAAAAATTGTGGCCTCATTAAACAATAAATAACTTACTTCTTGATGTATGGCGTTTTGGGGTAACTATTTACAGGAACGTTAAACGTGTGAAAAGTTTCGTTTATAGCTCTGCCTAGACCCTTGGACGGTGCTGCCCTGCTGGTAGCTAATGTTGATGGACACCAGCAGCCAACCTTCGGGAATTTGTCAGTAACATTTCAATATCTAAAATTTCAACCACTTACGTGTTACGTGCAGAAATTAAACTGAGGCTTATGTTATTAGAAGTGTTTAGATTAAAACATGTTATAAAACACGGTTACATAAAAACGGTTCAGACCGGGGCGCACCTGGTGTTCCACAGACTTATTGCAGATAAACTTACTTCATCCTCTAGTACCGTAGACTGAGTGGTGGTTGACGCTTGAGACTTCTTCTCGGTGACGTTGCTCTCCATTTGAACTTCTGTATCTAAAATTTAAAAAAAAGCAATAAAACAAAGATACATTTTCATACAAATCACAAGCAGAACCGTACTTTAAAACACTCTGAAGTTTTTTAGTTACAGAGGATAGACAAGTATTACATAATGGAAGATGAAAGAATTTTTATGCAGGGTTTTATGACATGATCAAAATACACTAGCGATCCCGGTTTTTTCGTTGGACATCCAAATATCGACAGACTGAAACTGAACTCTGATGTACAATTCACAACTTCCCCCTCTGTAAACGATTCACAGGACGGAATTTTGATATTTTTTTTAATAAAAAAAACACACAACCCATTTTATGTCCAACAAACTGTTCAAACGCTGTGTGAAACATTTTAAGTAAATCTTTAATACCAGCACTATAACTATGTCATTTCTAACATTACTAATTAAATAACTTTTAGTGATAAATGCTTACTGGGCGTATAATTATAGTCGATAAGCGATTCCCCAGCCGTGCTGTCGGTCCGAGATCTGCTGTGGTCCTGGTATAAAGAAGAACACCATTACTACTACGGTTTACAAGGAACACAGATTTCAATGCTATGGTAAAAGCCTAGATTTATTGATCTATGTTCTATATTATCTTAGCCACGGCCTACAATTGGAAGGAATAATACTTGTAACAATTGGTAGATTGGTGGTTTGTTCCAAACTACCGAAAAAGCTTAAGTGCTAATTGTGACAAAATTTTGCTAGAATAACGCAATTGTTATTTTACATCCGCAATCTTTGCTCGATTCCTAGACCACATAAATTACCCACCGAATTAATTATATTCAGGGTCCATTGCTGCCTCGGCTTCCCAGTCACTCTTGCAGCTCCTTGAGGAGGGGGCGTCTGCAATATCATTAAAGTCAAGGTATTTTATATATATTTTTAATTTTCATAAAATAATTTCCATACACGTACTTCTGATATTCCCTTGCCAAGTTTCTTCCTCAGCTCTGCATTAAAGCTCTCCGCAAAACCGTCAGCATTAAAGTATCTGTTAAAAAAGGGGAAATAGTAATAATGTCATCTGGGAAACAAAAAGGCATTTTTTTTTGTATTGCGACATAACTTTTTGTGGCGAAACATAATGATTTTTAGCTTATATTAAATCTGTATTTCTTTATTCAGATAAATACTAAAATAATAACTCTACGACCTGTAAGGATCAGTAATTATTATATCTAACTAAGTATATTTTGTGTTTGATTAATAAACAGACCACAACTATTAAAGCCAGATCGGCCACTACCACGTCTCCCGAAACAGTCCACAACTCACTTATGTCGTAGTAACGCTGACGCAGAGGGCCTCGCCCGTGGCTCAGTTCTAAGTGAGGCCGATAGAAGCTCCTTAGCCAGACCGATACCAGGTAGATTACTCCTTGTGCCAACGGGACCAGAGCAAAGCGCTGCACCACCAGCTAGCCTGGACACTACTTGCTGGTGACGAGGAGCTAGTTTACCTAGCAGCCATTACCATGAAACTTTTAAAGTGAAAAAAAGCCTGTATTTGTTGGTGCAATAAACTTTAGGTTTTACCTGTTAAATGCTACAATTACACAGAGATTTTTATTGTGTAGTCATTTTAACGTTTGTTTTAAAAGAACATATAATAGAGATAGTAAAGACAATTATAATTACACAATAAAAGAAACACATTTTACCTGCGTGACACAAAGAAATTTGTTAATAAATATTATTAATGTTAGACACTAATAAAAAATTACACTATGACTCACCAACAGTTTTGATAATGTGTGCCAGCTGGTCGATGTCAGAGTCACCAGGAAATAGAGGATCTCCGGTTAGCATTTCAGCGAAGAGACATCCAATCGCCCATACATCTACTTCTGGACCATATCTAAAAAATAAAAACAAATCGTTCTACATTTTTAATAATCCAAAGCGTTCTTCAATTATATTCAAATTATAATCAGTACGAGTTACAAACAAAAAAGGTATATTTTAAAACGTTTAAAAACCCTCAAATTATGTCGATCTCAAGAAACCGGGTCTTAATGACGTCACGTCTTCTAAAATCAAGTGACTTGTTAGCGTAGTTAATGAAAAAGACCTGAAGCTAAAGAAGAAGAGAAGAAGTAACTGTATGTGAAAGCAATACAATGAAAACTCCTGAAATAAGGTATTTATGTTCCTCTTTTCGTAAATATCAATAAAACTAGAAAAAATATTGTTTATATTCTATAGCAGAAACTACCTTTTACTAAATCTCAATTTTGTTTTGTAATAATTTGATTGTAAATCGAAAGATTTCCATACCTGTGTTCAGCGACGAGTAATTCAGGAGCTCTGTACCACCTGGTCGCTACATACTCCGTGTAGGGCTCCCCGGGAGCAGCCAGGGCTCTAGCGAAGCCCAAATCGCACAACTTGACGATACCATTATTCGAGACGAGGACATTTTCGGGTTTGACGTCACGGTGAATAATCTAAAGCAGTTTAATATTGTCATTATTACCTAGTTAAACATTACGACAAAAAATTAGGAATAATTGATAAGTATATAAATGTTTTTTTTATATGTATTAAATAAAACGATAGCAATGCATACAGTCTAAAATTTACTCAAGATCATTTAAGAAGTTTGATTTACCGAATTCTGGTGACAATAGTCCACTCCCTTCAGCAATTGGTAGAGGTGCTTCTTAGCCGCGTCTTCCCCGAGACCGCCCGATGATGCTTCCAGCTCATCAAGCAGCGTGTGATCAAGGTATTCAAACACAAGGTAGAAGCGACGCTTGCGACGAAAAACTTCGATCATATTCACGAGGTGATCGTGGCGGAGTTTCTAGATGTGAAAAGTAATCATAATCACATCAGAATCATATTCGATGAATAGTGTTCGTTTCTTTTTTATGATAGAGTTAGCCCAGCCATACAACCCATACACAAGATGTGCTATCGACTTATTTTGTCTTTGGATATTTGAAAATCCACAGACTGAAATCCAAAAGGCGAATAAACTTCGCGACTTTTTAGTCCGTAGGCGGGTGGGTTGTGACCCGGGCGGGATTTCGATATTTCTACCTTCCATTTAATATCAAGTAAAACAAAAAAATATTAATTAATCAGAAAAATGCTGGAACTGGTGAGATCAAATACACGACTCGTTGATTAATAGCCGTACATTGTTACCAATAGACCAACGGGTCGGTCAAGCGTCGTCGACTAATCTTCAGCTTTGGACTGAGTTGTTAGCCGAAGGCGAAAAATGTTTCTTAATGATATTTGTTTTGCCACTTTTGATTTTTATTTAATAATGTTCAATTATTATAATCATGTCCAGAAAACTTGAAATAATTACACAATCTTTACCTTTAGCATCCTTATCTCTCTAAGTGCCATCTTCCTGACGGCTGCGTCATCTTCCGTCTCCAAAAACTTCTTGATAGCTACCAGCTGGCCATTGTCCCGGCGACGGCACTTCAACACAACGCCATACGATCCCTCACCTACCTGAATCAACGAATATAAATGTAATATAAAGGGGCGAGGGACTACTAAGAGCTGCAAGGGGTACTTACAACTGCTAACTGCTCGTACTTGTCCATAGCGCGAGACCTAGGCGTAGATGGAGAGATGGAGACGCGTCGACCCATGGTAAATGGCACCTGACATCTTCAATTACTATCAATAATCTGAAACAACTAAATCGTGACATTTTAGGCGGGCTCGTAGGTTTAATGGTAGCAATACACGTTAATAATCAACGGGTCGTCGGTTCGCACCCACTGGGTCCAAAATTTTTCCAAAACATGTTGGAATTCGTTTGGAAATCTGGATGTTAAATGGGTGGTAGGAATATCGAAATTACGTCCGGGTCACAGATAAAAAGCCGCGAAGTTTAATCGCGTTCCGGTTTCAGTCTGTGGATTTCCGAATATCCAAAGCCAAAAAAGGGCGACAGCGTATCTTATTTATATGTTATATGGCTGGGGCTGTTTCACCTCCATTCAAGTGAAGTTATTTTTTGACTAGCCCTGACCTTAAACTATTCATGGAGGTTATTGAATGATCAGAATTAAAAAATATCGAGTCAACAGTCCTCTATATTCGGATGGATTTGGACAAATTTGGCCGAATATTCGGTATCTGGCAAAACTACTATTCGTTTCATCTCTAATAAATTTATTATTAACTTTACTTTGTAAGGGAAGAATGCTTTTAAAATGTCACCCTTAGTGACCTTAACCTCTAAATTAATCGCTTCACATAGACCCGTGATAACATCTAAATACTGTCCACATTGTTCATACACATAACATCGTGATGCTATCAACTATTTAATTTAAATGTCCTTACACGTATCGACAGACCGGGGTTAATTCTAATATACGACGAAATTTACAGCGACATAAGTCGCAAGTCCCTTTAAAATTTGTTTAAGTGGCTATTAAAATCGATTAGATATTTTTTCTCTTAATTTAATAGCTTTGTTATAGAAAATGGAATTAGCTAAAGTCTTGTAAACATTAAACTTAAACCCTTTATGAGAATTGCCCCCCGTCCGAGCTATTTCCATGTGACATTGACTTGTGTCATTACACGCACGATATGCTATGTCATGATCTGTTCATTTTTTATAATGTTTGCATGAAATGTCGCTGGTGGTACAGACATTACGTCATTAGGTGGGTGAAGGTTGAGGTGCCGTAGTAGCCTAACTATCTCCCTAACTACTGGATTTAAGGTTCACATTCTGTGACAATTATTTTCAGATACGCACGAGTTATTGAGACATTAAAACTTAGAATCTAACTTCTGTCAACTTCTCCCTAATTATAATTATAGCTATTTTATTGGTTTGATTATTTTTTTTTAATAGTTAGAAGTTGAATTTGTACAAACATATACCTTTATATTACCAACGGAAACCAACACCGGGTTAAGACGAGGTTTAGAGTTTTGCCGTTTGTCTATTAAAAGCAGTCAATCCCTCGCCAATATTTAAGCAGGTCTAAACGTAAATGGTGTAAAGGTGGCCTGTGCATCTCGATTTGTTAGGCAATAGGCATGTCAGCAAGCACATTGAACAAGTTTGTAAACTTGGACACTTAAAACATCGATTTATCACGATCAATGCGATGTCACGCGACAATCCTTACACGAAACGAAAATATTTGCTCTTTTCATATTGAATGCAATAATAATGCTTCGTAGGTTTATTTGGTTACTTTACGAAAGAACGATCTATAGTTATATAGAAAGTTGAAGAATTTGTTTGTATGTATGTATGTTTGCACGCACTAATCTCAGGAACTACGGGTTCCAATTGAAAAATGATTTTGTGTTGACTAGAGAGCATTTATCGAGGAAGGCTATAGGATAAATATTGCGCTAAAATTAATAGGAGCGAAGATGAAAAGAAAACAGCGCACTATGTGAACAAAATGAGGAAAATATACATATATGTGGGTTTCCGATGCGTAAACTGCGAAAACAGTTATCTAAAAATATGTATGAAATAATGATTTCTCTTTAAATAATCTAAAAACATCTGCGACACTATATGCTTTTAAGATTCATTTGCAATAACGACGGGACCAGAACGAGAAGTCGCGAGAGACGATAAATTTGGACGCCCAAAATAACTATTCTATGCGGACGAAGTCGCTGACACAGCTAGTATGATATATTTTTGCCATATCTATTATAAGAGCGTATAGTTAAGACATATTTAGAACTTATATTTTTTTTATCATAATGAATGTTTAAATAAAACACTTTAACGGTTTAAAACGCGATATATTAGTTAAACTTATTTGAAAATGATTTTTAACTTCGGCCCGACGTTTCGGACGCTTTGCAGCAGCCGTGGTCACGGGGAGACTACGGCCGCTTTATTTAAATATTGTGTACTACTCGCGTAAACTATAGACGGTACATAATAAATGAATTAAAACTTACATTTTTATAAGAAATAGGTAAGTTCTTATTTGGAAAAACATTTTAGTGTTATTGTGTTCATACTTATTTAAAGATTATACATTGCTGCGTTTGGACTGAAGAGATGTTAAAATTTGGGTTGCATTCTTAAATCTTCGCTATATCAAGTCTCAGTGGAGCGGAGCAGCGAAAAAAGTCGCGTGCCTGCACCGATTTGCGACATCACAATTACAAATCAATAAAAACCAATGCCCATAAAGTCAAGCGACGTCATTCTATTTGGCTTCCTTTAACCACGAATTATTACAATGCACAAATATGACTTGGTTTGGAAAAAATTGTTACTTCTATTCGTTCAATATTAGCTATATACTGTCACCAATAAACGGAAAGTATTCGTATGTTTAATAAGACTTCGTTCAACTTTGCATAAGTCATCAGTCTCCCCGTGACCACGGCTGCTGCAAAGCATCCGAAACGTCGGGCCGAAGTTAAAAATCATTGTTTCTAATAGGTTTAACTAATATATCGCAATTCAAACCGTTAAAGTGTTTTATTGAAATGTGTACTACTCGCGTACACTATAGACAGTATTCGTTCAAATTTATTTATAGCCTAAAAGAATAGGGTAATTCTAAGTCATCAATACTTTTACACGGCAAACGAGTGCTTTATATACACGAGAGGTCCTGGGTTTGAATCCAGGGGACACAATTTTTAGTTTCGGTGAAGAGGAGGTGATCTTAGCTAAGAATTAGAATGGCTTATGTAAAATTTTTAAACACTCAACTTCGCAAATCTAAAACGGGGGTTTCACTAGTAAAATGATAACTTTTAAACTAAATAATAAAAAAAAAAAAAAAAAAATATAAATGTAGAGTTTGGTAAATTACAACACTACATAACTAACCTTTACTTTGATTCCGGTCATGATGCAAATAATTTGTATCATTATTTAAACACAATTTTTTTTAATTGAATAATTAGAAATAATGATAATATTATTATAACGATTGGAACTAGATACAAAGTTTTACGTAGCCCAGCTACGGCGTAGCACGCAAGACATGCGTCTACAATCACGCGAAGTCGTAGACTGCGCTCAAAGCCTTTCTTGTACTTTTTCGAAAATAATAAAAAATATTATTTCATTATTTTTCAGCTTTGTTGGATTGTTTCTGTTGTAACTTATATTTATTTTTCCTGTTGTATCGTTTCTTTTTTAAAAGCCTTATAATATAAGGTAATAAGTAAATTACTTGTTAGAATTTTAACCCAGAAGCTAACCATAGTATTTGATGCCATATCTTGGGTATCATCTAATGACTAATCACAATTGGAATATATAGTTATATCCTGCTTTACTTAATAAACTATACGAAAGCTTTGAACTATTAATTAGTCGCGATAATATATCTAAAAACTACAATAATATTTATAACTATAATAGTTCAAATTAAATTCCTTTTTGTTACCTATTTATGGAAAATTATAAATAGCCTCGTTTAATGGTTAATCTTATATAAATTGTCAACAATTGCAGCTTTCAGTGTAACCCACCGACTATAAATCAAATAAAGACAGTACGAAAGACATTTACGACACGACATCTATGTCTTGCATAATATGACAGAAATTTTGGTAAGGGTTCCAAAGTTACTTATATAAATATTCAAATATCCATTATTGACAGCTATCTGTATCTCTATAACATCTTTAAATAGGACAGAATAGGACAAAAGATATGACGGAAACATTATTACTAGTAAGTAACGTTTCATAAATTAAAAATATGTTATTATTTGTTACGCGAAATTTGAACAAAATCGAGGAATATGGGCAAGACGTGGTAGCTCGATACATCAGAGCAGCAGCGCGAAAGGACGCCAGTTCAATTCCCGCCGTAGCATCGATTTTTTTTCCACCTAATAGATTTTTTTTAAATGTAAATAATGACATTATCTGCAATAATGTGAGGAAAATAATAAATTTTTCCAATACTGTGTTAAAATGTACGTACATATTGGTTAAATACCTACATTCTGACGACAAAACATCAGCGAAGCTTTTATTAATTCTAATTACGTCAAAATCGATGGATCCTAAAAAGTAGGGCATCATTAAAATTTAATGTTCGTGTATTCCATCCAGCTGGGTAATGAGCGGTTATATTCTCAACTTGATACTATCTTGTTTCAGACTCAATTTATTAATATATGTTTTCTTTGTATTACATAATATTTGTCACAATAGTAAAGAAAAATTTTGTGCTTACATAGACATTGTAACACTAGATAAAGAAAAACTCACGCACATTTTGGCATTCTTCGATTTTTGTAGTATTCTTTACTATATATATTTATTTTAATATTTTTCCGTGTAAAAGCAAAATTGTATTTCTTTCTCTAGTCCTAATGTCTCTTGGATAATTTAGAATTGAGCATAGCATTTGAATAAGTCTCAAAGCGTTATATAATTTAAAACGTTTGCAAATCGTTATGATAATAAATCGGAAAAGTTAGTCTGTTTGGTTAGAACTAATTTTAGGATCTGGCTAAAAATTGTTCACTGGATATTTTATTCGGTTGCTTTGGTTATAATTTTTATTTTTCGTTACTAAAACATTAAATAACTTTATTTAAACATATGCTGACGTATTGTTATGGAAAGTTGTATCGTATCAATTAATCATACTCAAACTCTAGCTTCATTA